AAATGAATGAAAAATCTTCGCGTTTTATCATTAATAATCTTTAATTATGTTTTAAATAATCGACTTCGCTGTCTTGTGGAGCTGAAACTAGTCTATGAATTTTGCTTTTGACATACATACATAAGCTAAAAATGAAACAAATAAGCCGGATAGTGGTTTTTATTGAAATGAAAACGAACTGCTATAAATGTTGAAAATGGTTATTACGGAAACATATTTCGATATTGAAGATAATGATTTTTTTTTAAAAATGCCATTCATTTTATTTTAATTAATTTTGTAAATGCATCTGAAATATTAAGTAAATAATGGAACATTGATCAGATCTAAATATAATTGCCGTCTTCAAACACATTTAAAAAAGAAAAGAAAAAAGTAGTTTTTTTTTTTTTTTTTTTTTTTTTTTTTTTTTTTTTTTTNAATTTTTGGATTTTTTTTACTCTTTCACGGAACCAAATGGTTTGGTACACCATTATAGCAACCGCTGATTTATACAACAGGCAAAGAATTTTAATGTTATCATCATGTGAGCCAATGCCTCCCTCTGAAGATTTCTCCATGACGACTTCCGATTTATCTTTGATCTCAACCGCGGACTTTCCCGCTTTCTTGTTCCAGTGGGTCTAAAAAGCCAGGGGCCCCCACCAGGGGGGACACTTGAAACTTGGGGGGGGGGGAATTTTTACACTAAATAAAACGGATAGTTTGGGGGGGGGATTTAGAATTTGCCCAAGAATGCGCCCAAGAGCTTGGGGGGGGGATGGGGGCCACTGTAAAAAGCAGTATCTTTTTTATTGTATTGTCATCACTCATTCGAATCACGTGGGCCATCCAATTCATTTTATTTATTTTTATGTATTTAATAACATCAGGTTGTTTATAAATCTTGTACAGTTCAAAGTTAAATCTCCTTCTCCAGTTATTGTTTTCACTTACACAACCAAGCATACTCCGCAAAATCTTTCTCTCAAATATTGCGATACAATTTTCCTCCAGTTTTGTCATTATCCAAGCTTCAGAAAATTTTTCAAAAATTATTAAAATAAAAAATATTATTTTTGATCATTCTCTGTCACAAAAAGTTTGGATCAATCTATAATTTTCATAAAATAGTTTACTTATAATTACGTTCAATACCATTGTAAAATTATTATTCATCTTTGTAAAGTGTTTTCCTTAAATATTTAATTTTCCCCTACACAGTTTTTACATATAGTCTACAATGTTTAAATTAAAACATACAATATTTCCGGGATGTTTTGTAAATTATAACGCAAGAAATGTATTTAAATTTCGGATTAATCGATTAATAACTTGAGATATGAATGTTTTAATGGAATAATTTTTATCTTGAAATGCACGAAAGACATAAAACCTATCGTATTAGGCGATTTATCTAAAAATTCTAATCGAGTGTAATTAACATTCAAACGATATAAACAATTTTATCTGTAAAATCAAAGAACGATAATTGTCAAAAACCGCTGCCTTTCGTTACTGAATATGATCAGTGCATTATCGTTGAACGAGAAAATCACAAATAAGCATTAATCAACAAATTCAAATATTTTTGTCTATCATTAGCTTAAAATCAATAAAAGGTATAACGGTATTTGCCTGATAAATTATTTATTTATCCGTCATTTAACGCTACTTACTAGTTATATTTATCACCCATTGTTAATACTTATCTCTGTTGCAAAAACCAAACAATTAGAGCCGTTTATAGATATTTTTATCATGATCATGTTAGTTTCTCTCAGATAAACTGTGCGAAATTAAACTTGTTCTGATACCAAAAAATTCTAGTCTTCTGGATTGGATTCAAAATCAATGGAATATAGACAAATGTCTTAAATCCACTACGAGCTTCATCATTTATAGAAGACTATAAAATAAGTTTTCTACAATCAGAAATTTATACCCACAATTAAAGATTATATTTAAAGCAAATGATAGGGTTTGTTTGTGATCCGATCTGGAAGTATGAAAACGTTTGAAAACTTGAGTTTAATCGATTACGAGTTTACGAACGCATGACTGACTATTAGATTTAAATAGAAGGCTGCTTTTAATACCTCCAAGAAAAATAATTCAAACTTAGTATTGCAAAGGTTCTTCTAAAAATATAATTGTAACGTAAATTGAGTCCGTATATCTCAGGGGGGCGGATTGAGCCTCATACGAAGCGATCCAGATTTAATTCTCGACGACTGTTAGTCAAGTAGTATACTGCTCCTAGTTAGCCACGACCTCAGTGTTAAACAAAAATACCCTAAGTGGTAGATGAAACATCGGTTTGAATTGCTTTGCAATCGGGTTAACCTTGGGAGATTTTCATGAATTTCCTCTTTATTGTTGTGCATAAGCAGGTTAATTTTACTCAAAGTCCTCAGCGAAGGTAATTTTGTTCCAATACTTCGTTTCCTTGTCTCCTGAGTTGGGTTCAAAATTAAAAGGCTACAGAGTTACGAATCGATGAACCAAAAATACCTCATCGAACGGCTTTTCTCAGCTGGTGATAAATCAACGTTAATATAAGAAACTTTCTGTAAATAATACGCCGAGGAACTAAAGCTTCTCTTTCTAAGCGGCAGTCAGTGTGTTGAGTTTAGTTTTCACTACCACAGTTTGGGTTGATGTTCACTCCTCTATATTAATGGCTGGGTGGCTGCAGTTTTTCCGATCTTGTCTTAGTTGGTTTGAAATCCATTCTAATGTAATGTCGACGGTGAATTCACAGAGTAAGAAAAGTTCACACGTAATCGGGCGATTGGGGATCGTGGTGCATAGGCAGAAAGGATGATTCCACTGTCTGACACAAGTATTGTCTTCGGATCATCATTAAGGATAAACCCCAGACCAGTGGTTCCCAACCTGGGGGCGATCGCCTCAAAGGGGGCGATAGAGCTTCTCAAGGGGGCGATAATCCTTAGGGGGGCGATCAGGGGGCGACGAGTACTCAAAAGATAAAAATTGCTAATAATATTAATAATTAAAGCTATTTGAGATTGAAATTAAAAAATATATATGAAACCAATGGTTCTGGTGTCGACAAAGAATTATGATAGTTAAAAATTAAAAAAAAATTCAAGTGCAGGATCGTTTTCGTCATACGTTTTGGTATCGCAGGCGGAAATCTGATAAGTCGCTCTGTTCCTCTGAGCAATAATACTGTTTCCAGGCGTACTGATGAGATGGCCGCAGACGTTGAATCAAAACTGATTAAATTTCTGAAAGAAGGTAAATTTGCGTTGCAGATTGATGAATCAACTGTGATAGATAACAAAGCTGTTTTAGCTTACGTGAGATTCATAAATGCGAGTAAGGAGATTAACTAGGAAATGTTGTTTACAAGAACTTTGAACACCGATACAAAAGGATCGTCGATTTTTAAATTGGTCAAAGACTATTTTGAGGTAAAAGAAATTCCCCTCACAAATGTAAGTGTTTGTGCAACAGGTGGTGCTCCAACCATGTCTGGTTGTCATATTGGGTTTCAGGGTCACCTTAAAAAAGAAGTACCAGAAGTTATCTCCCCATTCATTATGTCAGTCATCGTCAACTTTTGGCTGAGAAAAGTTGGTTATTCCTGGCATCAATAAAATAAAAGCTAATTCTCCTAATAACCGTTTGTTCCGAGAACTTTGCCATGAAAATGATGAAGATTTCGAATTCCTGCTCCTACATACAGCCGTGAGATGGCTTTCAAAAGGAAACTGAGCCGTTTCTTCGAATTGATGGATTCGGTTACTGAGTTTCACGACACCACTGATCCTGTTTTAAGTGAGAATTTGAAGCAACGCAAGTTAGAAACTGCGTACTTCACAGATAGTTTTGAAAAAATGAAGTAAATCAACGTAAAACTTCAAGCAAATGAAATAAACATTATCAAGGCTAAGGGAATCACATCTTCATTTATCGCCAAGTTTGATATCTACAAGTCAAACATTGGTCGCAAAGAGCTAATGCAATTTCCAACTCTTAAAAAGAGTTCAATGGCAGATATCGAGATTCTCGAAAATAAAATCTTATATTTTACTGATCACCTTGATCAGTTACAAGATTTAAAGATTTGATGAAATTAGAAATTCCGGATTGGATTTTCGATCCTTTCTCTTTTAAAGTTGTGGATAAGCTCACTTCCTCTTTGTAGACTAAGATTTTAGATTTGAAGTATGACTGTGAGGCTAAAGTCGTCTTTAAAAAATACGGTTAGGAGTTATCTTGGGTAAAGCTTATGGATACTTATCCACAATTGTGGAAACAAACTGAGCCGCTTCTCATCTCGTTCCCGTCAACATATTTAGTGGAGAGAGGATTTAGTTCTGTCTCCCAGCTGCTCACAAAGCAAAGAGATAGGTTGGACATTTGATTCAATTGCCTTTAAATCTGACGAGCATAAAACCTGACATACAAGCTTTAACTTGAAATACACCAAGCACAGGGCAGTCATTGAAGTGGTAAAAATGTACTTTCTCCCTCTTAATTTTTTTTCCTCAAATTTTAGTTGTTAACGTTTTAACTTTTTCTTGATTACATTAAAATATGAATTTAAAAAAATGTACTTTTGTTTTTATTATTCCGTTTTAAATATCATTTCTTTTTGAAAAAAAAAGATGCACAATTTTTTTTTAATTAATAAAAATGACAGGATAAATGTGCCTCCTTATTTGCATTACAATTAAAATTAAAATCAAATAACATAGCATATTTTCAGTGTTTGGTTGCTCACAAGCAACAATGAATGTTTTTTTGAGCAAAAAGAGAAAGGGGCGATAGTTCACAAAAGGTTGGGAACCACTGCCCCAGACCATCACCTATAGCCCATGAGTCTAGTGCGGCATTTACAACCAAACCCTTCTAAGCCTCCTATGTAGATGAGTTATATAAGTGTATGTTTCTCGTGTACGTGTACATAAGATAATTAGATGGTTCTTTAATTTATGAATTAATTAAAGTTATTAGATGGTTCATTGATTTTCTTTTTTTTCTTCTAGTATCTTGGTTCAAAAGACGGTGTTGTCAAAAAAATTGAAAGTGATACAGAAAAATCTCTTCAGGACATGCACAAGTATGTTCAACTGAACAAAAATACGATCATTCCTTACCTTCTCGATCAAGTTTTTCAGATTAACTGTGAACTCCATGCTAATTTTAGGATAGGAGCATTTTAATCAGTTCGTTAATTCATGTATTGGTTTAGCTGTTGAATTTGCTATAGTGAGTAAATTCATGATGTACTGAATGTAGTCTTATTACTAGAAAACTATTCAATGTAACGAAATGCTTTGGAAATAAAAAGCTCAGTGGAACAGATTACCAACATTCAAAAAAATAGTAGCTTGAAATTTTGGGTTTATAAGTATATCGATGAAATTTAGTTTGTTGACTTATGACTAATCTTATTAATTGAATTTGATTTGAGTTTAATTGCACTGCTGTGTTATTAAATAAGACGGTTTTAAATGAAAAAAAATGCATTTTGTTAACAACTTCTTGTTGTTGTAACATTTTTCTAAACTCACTCAAATGTTATTTAACCTCTTCCACTTAACTCTTCGATTGTATTTCTAACCATAGAAAAAAAAATCCTCGGATACAAATCATGATAAAAAAATATATTGTTACAATATCAAAAAGCAAAAATTATTCCCTTTTTTTTATTAAAAAAAATGTGTTAGTGAAATAGAAATTAATGTAACGATTAAAAAACTGTTCTAAAAATGTTTTCTAAATCATTAAAATCAAGTTTGAAAAATTTAAGAATTATCTTTTTTGAAACTTTTAATGGTGCTTATATAGAACTTTTTTTTTAGCCTGGCACGTTGGCTGATGAATTAATTCTAAATGCCAGTTCTTAGCTGCTAAATCCCTATAGTTTCCTAGTAATAACGCTAACATTCCAAGGAATGGGTTTTTTGCGAATTTCAAAATACAGCATTAAACTTGTGTTCGAGAAAATGTATGTAATCAAGATACTTTAACTAAGAAAATGTATAGAATAGATTGCGAAACTAAATTTGAATGAAAGTTTGGTAATGTTCATAATTATATTTTTATCACCCGTTTGTCATAAAACAGTTTTATTTCGTCATCAACGAAGGTAGCTACAATTGAATGTGATATTTTCTGTAAAAAACTTAACAAGATGTTTTTGTGCTATTCCACGAAGAAGTATTTATTTTAATCCTGATGCATTTAAATTGTTTTAAATAATTTTAAATAAAACTTTATAAATAAATGCTGTGATATTTTACTTAAAATGTAGCCTAATAAATTTCACATTCAAATATTTTGTAAAATACTTTGTATTTTCATGTGAATATGTGGAACGGTCATAAAAATGAAAATCATGCAAATTTCTTACGATATTAAAGATTATATTTTCTCCATTTTGAATTAAATATCTAAATTTTGAATCTTAGAATTATTGTGATTTGAGACAAAATTGCATTTAAGTTTTTTCTCTTTTTTTGTTCATACACATATATATTAGCTAAAATATGTATAAAATATTTTATTTTGTTAAGTTCAGTATTTATAAATGCCTATAATTATATATTATGCATTAGTGATAATTTTTGTTGTTGATTTTATTCAATTGATATTTATGAGTCATGTATAATCTCAGTTTATAAAATCTGAATATCATTTATAATCTGATAATCATGTATTTATGAAATATATTTTACATAATCTAGATATTTCACGGCAATAAAATGTTAAATTATGAAGAATGTTGTTTTGTTTAGAGGCATCATTATATTCATCTTTTAAAATCACTGATTATTGATTGTTCACAAAAAAATAGCGTTCAGCACTCATTATATATGTTACTGCAAAAGTTCAAATGCGCATCTCACATAGCTAATCTGCTGATATTTTAGTTAAGGAGAAATAAATGAATAAATTCTTAAACAATTTCTTCATAATCTATTACCAAGTTGGAATACATTTTAAAGGTACCAAAATGACTTTGGCGCCTTGTTGGCGAAAATGGTCGACGGGATATAATTAAAGTAAGCACCAAAAGGTTTGGTTAATAAGAACCAAAAAATGTTATTTAATGTTTTGGCTATGAGTATTAAATAAATCGTAGCTAGGATTTTAGCTATAGTTCAAAAATAATTAAATCATCATAAATCAGTTTTAAACAATTTTATTCTTATTAACTTGCGATAAATCGCTTGAAGACATCCGTTATAGAGCGAACCTGTCACATAATTTTCCTTTTTATTTCCTATCAGAAAGTAGAAGAAAAAGAACAATGGGGTGTAAAAAGCATTCGGATTCACGCAATCTTGTTCCAAAGATATTGTGAAATATACAAAACAATTAATGAAAATTTTGTAAGTGATATGGTCATAACTCTACGGGTAAGAGGATTTGAAACTGTTGGAGATCATATCTTCCAGATAGAAAAATCGTACAACTATTATAAAAGATTATGTAGGTAATATTATCAATATATGAAAATGTAGTACGCAATTTTAGACTCCGCTGCCACCTTATCAGCAAAAATAAACAAATAACCTGCACGTGCCTACCAACACCTCCCTTTTCCTTTAACTTTGCGTTTACAGTAGTAATCTAATTTTAGAATTATATTCAAATAAACAATGTAACTTTGTATAGAACAAAATTTATGGTTCATATCATTTCGCAAATTTTTTAAGTAGAGTATTTATTAGGAATCTTTGGTTTTTTCCTTTCAGGGGTTAGTACTCCTTATGACCGATGAAACTCTCCGAAAAAAAATGTACAACATTTTCTTTTTCCAAGCTCAATTTTACTTCAAATTTAAAAAATTTCCCACGTTTAACTCTATCTCAAATTTTTTTTGCACGTTTTTGTTTTTACTTTTCTACATTAAGAAAAATAGCAATGTGAGTTTGTTCTCTTGCGGAAGCATTGCTCACACGCCTCCTCTCCCTGTCAGCAAAAATAAGCAAATCTATCAACCCCTTAAGGTGCTTACGTAATATTTTAACGGCCCCATATCGACTATAAATTCGATAGTCCAAACGTTGAAAGAGCAAAAAAAGTATCTCCATTTAGAGATAGGCAAGTTTTGGTGTCCGATTTCAGAATAAGTGCAAATCAATTACAGTCAAACCTCGCTATAGTGAACCTTCAAGAGATCGAAATTTCGGTCCACTACAACCGGTACTTCACTATATCCGTTCCGCAAATAATTTTAACTAATAGTTCCTAACTCCCTCCTTTTATTACACATTATTTATATAAATGACCAATAAAATGAAATAAAAATAAATGACTGAAAAATAATACTTAGTAACAAAAATGTGTTAACTTTTATTTTTTATTACTTTTCGTCCTGCGTACAAAAAAAATTAGTAATCTTTAGCTGAAGAGCAATTCTCAATATCAGATACGGAAACACTTCCCGAATCTCGGATAATTTTTCCTGAATTTATGTTATTCCGCCTTTTCAAACTCAGCTATTCGAGCACATAAAAGTAATCTCAACAAATCGCTTAGCAAATTCATCAGCTTTGACTTGAAGTATTTGTCCAGATACTGGAAGATTGCGGCTTCTTTGAATCCTGAACCAATTCAATAATGCTATCTAATAATGAAGCAAGCAAGAAAAAATGCTTATTGCTACATTCCATGCTATTGATGGTTTAAAAAATCGGTATATGTATTTATTTTGAAGTAAAAGTTTCAAAATTATTACGAATACTATTATAAATGAAGAAAATAAATCAGTCGAAGACAGAAAAAAGTTCATAATATCCAACTTCCTCTCTTTTTTGGTTCACTATAACCACAAAAAATAACATATAGGGGAGAGTTGGATAAAACGGGATACGTCGCCTAGGGACCAGACTATTGCAGCTATCTAGTGGACAACGACAGAAACGTGTTATTCGACCGTGATTATATCATTCTCGGTGCGTCCCGCCTCGAGATCACTATTTGATAGAAAGTTGTAGGTCTCAGAATTTTTTTACTCTATTTTTTTGCCATTTTCTACATTTACGTGCGTTGTTTTTTACATTGTACTGCCTACATATATGGGAATAAAATTCCGGTGAGTATTAAATTTAATTAACCATTTATTTACCAATATTTTTATGTGCAGTCTATCTAATTTTCTTTTCACATTTACGCAGCAACCATGTTTGTTTCAAAAAGTGACGGAGTCGGACAAAACGGGACACTTGTGAGTTGGATAAAACGGGATAGAGTTTTTCATGTCCCGTTTTATCCACCTATTTATTTATTGGATTATTACATTTTAAAATAGCCATATATTAATGTAGGCCTAGGCTTTTTAAACAACTTATTTATATTAACTATATATAATTTTTGAATAATTTAGTCTCTTTATATAGTAATGCAAAATTTGTTTATTAACGTTCATTATTAAGCATTTTATTTTCGACTCTAGGATTTCACATCTTTCTTTAGAACTAATTGTAATGTATTTCTCTGATGAAGACTTTTTTATACATAAACAATTATTATACATAAACAATTATTTATATATTTGCATTATTTATTATTTTATCTTTATATATATGCAAAAAATTAAACATTGTAAACCCTATCCCGTTTTATCCAACCCAGGTATGCTAAAACGGGATATGTAAGAGTTTGGAAATGAATTTTTTTTTCTATTTCGCTGTCATTAAAATTAGTTGAAAATATGTTTTTTGTGTGCTTCAATAAATGTTGCAGCTACAAAAAAAATAATGTATTGTTTTCCTAAACAGATATTCCGTAGTAAATAAAAACAATAATGGTATCCCGTTTTATCCAACTCTCCCCTACGTGGTTAGCAAGGCTTGGGAGCGAACATTTCGTTCACTATATCCGGGAGTTCACTATAAACCGTGTTCACAATAGCGGGGTTTGACATCAGCCTCTAAAACAAGTATTCCATTTCTTCGTAAAAATTCGATTATTATAGGTCAAACGTAATTCAGAGAGTAACGTTAATTTATTTGCTTGTGTGCATAAGTATTACAGTGGTTTTGCCTTTGCCCTCTTCATAATATTAGCTTTTGAATTAAAATCTGAATTCAACCATAAAAACATTATTTTCAGTCATTCATTCAGCTTGTAAGTTCTGCTACTCTTACCTTGTGTGAATTTGGCCAACTCAGAACAAAAGAAATTTCGAAACCATGAATAAAGCTTATAAAAAACCTCATTTTTCATCCTTTCTGACAGCAAGTATGTGAAACAAGACTGATAAACATCCTCTACAACGTATTCATACATTTATTTGAATTTCCTAGGGGAAAGTTATATTCTGTTTATAACGGGGTCATTCATTTATTTTTTATTATCATAGTTTCAACTTCCTATTTTATGTTGCATTTGATTTTAGCTTTAAAAACATTAATTAAAAGTTTAAGATAGAAATTTACAATAGACATTTTAATTAGAATCCAATGAATGTTTTTTTCTCTTTCTCATTTTTTTGAAGCGATAATGTGTGCGAGAAAAACTTCACAGCATTAGAGTGATGTTGACTTAAGATTCAAAACGTAAGACATATTTAAGGATGTATATATAATATAGGACAAAGTACAATAATGTAGGACATACTTCAAAACAAATCAGAAATATTAAGATATAGTCAAGGCATAGCAAAACTTTTAGTTTCCCGGAATTGCATATATATTAATTTGTCACTCTCAATGAATTAATTAAAATTGCAATATATGTTTTTAAATATCAAAACAATCTTGGGCATGTCATTTTTTTTAGTACATTCTGATGCCACAGTAGGAAGGATGGAACAACAGCATAACCATTTTGGAGCCGAAAAAATGTGTTTTGGAGCAAGTAAACTTGGTTTTTGGATAGAATCAGAGCAAACAATTTCTATATTCGGTTCAGCAAGATGCTTATAAAATAACATTTTTGAGTAGATTTGAGCGGTTACCCAATATATTTTCAGGGTAGGGAGTCCGAATCCGCCCAAAGAAGAAAGCATATTATTCAGAGAAAATAAGTTTTTGTGGCTGATTTCGTAACTTAAAATATCGTAACATAAATAGCACAGATTAATTTGCATGTTTGAGGTTGCTCCTTTGAACCCTAGTGCGTGAAAATTCGCTCATTAGATCAAAAGTTATTCCGTGTGTTTTTTTTTTTCACTCCCCGCACTGTATTTTCATAAAGAGATAACAATTTCCAAAGAGGATATGTTCTGAATCACCTAGTCGAAAAATCTACGAAAATGGACATGGGACTAAATGTGAAAAGTAAAAGGATGAAATTTTTTATTCATTTTTACTCAATCTATATGTTTTGTATTTTAACTATATGAATTAATAATAAATTTTTTAATTGTATAATAAATTTATTATTGATGAAAAATACTTACCAGTTTAAGGACATTTTTTTATAACCTTTGAACGGCCAATCCAATTTAGGGTTTACGAGTCTATAGCCTTGTAATTTTGAACCCAATCCAGAAGATAAGGAAATTAATTTTGGTAGAAATTTGTCATCGTGGAGGGCTTTTTGATGGAACTAACCCACATTTGAGTTACAAGGAGAGGAAAACTACAAAAATCGCACCGTTAGCCCGACGCCATAGGATTCTAACCCCTGAACCGCCTTTCTGTGGAAATTTTAAGTCAGCACAGTGGTCGGCGCGAGTTGGGTGCAGAATTCGTATCGTCCAGCCATCACTAGAATTCAACCTCATTCATCAACCTCAATTCACCTCATTTGAGAGTGAACGCGCTATCCCCTGAGACATCATGGCTCTTAAAATATTATTTTATAATTCTCATTAAGCAGCCGATCCAATTTTGGGTTTACGACTACCAATGTTCAACTCCGCAGCCTCGTAATTTTGAACCTTATTATAAGAAATTTGGCCTTCATGGAGGACTTTTCGACGGAACTAACCCGTATTTGCGTAACATGGAGCAGGGATTCTAACCCATGATTGTGTCTACCACTAAGGATATTTTACATCAACACTGTAATCAGTGTGGAATTTGTATCGACCAGCCATCGCTTGATTTGAACCCGGTTCACCTCATTGGGAGGTGAATGCTCTATCCCCTGAGCCACCATAGCTCCTTACAATATTATTTAAAATAATTTAGTGTTCAACATTCCTGAAAAATAAAACTAAGATTATCAATTTTAACCCTCCCTACCAGAATGATCTCCAGAGTGCTCCACTGAGTATATATTTTGTTTTGAAGCAGTTTGGCGCAATTTATGTAGCTATCCCATGGCGATTCAACTATTTTTTCCCCTCATCCACGCAATCTAATGCACATTACAAAGTATCATCTTAAAAATTTTTTTTTAATCAATAAAATTAATAGAGTTGTACAATGTTACATGAGGTCTGCCATGTCGTTACCCCCCCTATCATAGCCTACTCATTTCGTTAATATGATCTACGATGTATAACCATTAATTTCACTCTAAATATTCTCTCAAGCAACTTAGCTTACAAACAAACTTAAAAGGATTTAGCTCTTCGTGAACGTGTTTCGAGTTTTATATCAGAGAAATTTTGTAAAGCGTTCATCTTACGTTATACAAACTTAATTTTCTAACTATCATCAATACTGCAATTTGTAAAAAAATATTCTGCATGCATACCGTTTAGAAAAATATCCTTGTTTTAAAAATGTATCATAAAATGATCAATAATATAAGTTACATCTTGCTAAAAAACGGTTTAAAAAAAACAATTCATTTTATCGATTTTGCAGCTAATTTTAAGAGAAATAACAGAGAAAATATATGGGTAGAAACCAAAAGGAAAAAAAAGGGGGGTCAGGGCCGGATTAACCTATAGGCACGTGCCTAGGGCCTACGAAAAACTTGGGAGAAAAAAAATTTGTTGACAAAAATAATTTAGCTTTAACAACAAGTGTATTTTGCACAAAATTATGAAGATACAAATAAAAATATAATATTTTTCGGTAATAAATTATTTTGCAGAATCTTATGATCTAATATATTACTTTTTTGCGATTTTTGGATTCAACGAAATCTTGTTTTATGCTGTCGAATTCCAAACTACGCAAAATGTCGTATTCAATAGACATAAGTGCGAGCCATGCCAAATGATCTTGATTCATTGTTGAACGCAAATAATTTTTTATCAATTTTAATCTGGAGAAAGATCTTTCTCCTTCTGCATTTGATCCAAGAATCGACAAATATATTCTTAATGCAATGTGAACGTTAGGAAAAGTATTCACAAGTTTATCTTTAATTTGAGCAAGAAAATTTTAGCATGTATTTTGAAAAGAGGGGAGGAGTGGAGGAAGGAGGGCCCAAAAACGGCTATGCCTAGGGCCTACGAAAGGTATAATCCGGCTCTGAGGGGGGTATAAACTTTACTTTTCCGGAGTTAAGTTAGACACAAGGTTAACCAAACAGGAAATCATAAAGTAAACAATTTTTCTTCAATTGATAAACATAAATATCAAGTTCTCTAATTAAAATATTCCAAAAAAAAGTTCGCTTTTTCAAAGAAGGCAGACAATAAATAAGCTCATGTTATTTTCCAAAAAACAAGAAAAGATAAGAATTTTTAAATAACTTTTCGGGACAACATAAATGAATTTGAAAATTCAAAAACTAATTCGAAATTATTAGAAAACATCCTTTCAGAGCAAAAAATTATAACTCTACTGTGATTAGTTTTTCCATTGCATCGAAAAATCCCTATTCTATTATTTCCGCTGAATTTAGTTACACAGCGAAAAAAAATCAATTTTGACATTAATGAACAAAAATTAATACAGTATTCTTTCTTAATTCCTTGACCAAAGATTCTAAAGAAATAATACACTTCACAATGTAACACAAATACATCAGTTAAAAATGCGGGATTATAAAATTTTCAGATTAAAGCAGACTAATAAAATCATAAAAAGAAAAAATTATAAGTTAATATGCATCAATATTAATCCATAATATTGATGCATAATCACTATTGATCTTACCCAATATCTGGTCAGGTTATGCAATTCTATTTTTAGGTAGTTCTATTTTTTATTTTAAGAAAAGGTAAAACAAGTTTGGAAGAGAAAAAAAAATTACTTTTCTCTTTCATCTCCCCCAAAATGTTCACTAATTAGGAATTTGGAAATTTTTTTTTGACATTCTGCCAATTTAGTTCAGCTTGGCAAATGCACTACAAATAGTCATTTACACAAAAAATCCTTAGACTTAAGCAATGACAATCTTAAGTAAAGTTTTAATAACATCAGAAAATAAATTTTTAAGCTAATTAATACATTTTTATGCAATTTAATAATTTAAAATGTAATAGTTAAGCTAATTAGTACATTTTTTTGAGTCAAGAGTTTTGTTAAAATTTACTTTAATTATTGTTTGAACTGTAGAAAAACGATTTGGAAGATGCTGAAAAATTCTTGAAACGCAAAAACAGAATTTTTAACAAAAAGAAGAAAAACTTAAGGTAGACAAGTTTATACTAAGACTACCTTTTGCCCAAAAATAGCTCAAATATGAATGATTGCAAAAATATTGTTTAACAGTAGAGATACTGTAGAGCTCTATAACACAGTTCTACAAACTGCATAGCTTTACAATCTCGAAAGTGAACCAAAATAAGTAATTTTGTTGGTTCTTAATGCTAATGCTCTTGAAATTTTAATTTTTCTTTAAACACTAAAAAAGAGCATACTTTCGTGTTTTAAACTATTGGTATTAAAAAATTATTTTCAGGCATGAATATTGACATGTCCCATAAATATTGTTATATACGTACCTGAATATTGTCATGTGTAGTAGGTAAGTTTAATGACATGCAAACAATCTACATAACATAGAATTCCATATGTTGCAAAGTTTCATGTTTCAATATTTGAGTTAAAAAGATCTTCTACTGCATTATGCCACTAAAATTAAACTGAGATTAAATGAACATTTCATGTAACTACTTCAGAACTCAAATGAGTGAATAGTCTAAAAAAAAAATTCAGTAAATAAGCTTTAAAATTTCATATTTTAATTTTAAATGATAAATTATTATAAGTTTAAATAAATATAGTTATGATTAAGTCTAAAAATGCATTAATATAATTCCTTGCCTCTAATTATGTACATATTTTTTCGTAATTTAGCTAAACAAATATACAGCAATTGATTTCTCAATCAACATGTCTTTCTCCTAAGCAGATACATCTCTTAAGATGAGACTATATTCTATTTTACTTACATTAGTAACTTTTGACTTAAAATTCAAATTATAGAAGAAAAAAAAAAAGAAAAAAAAAGATCCGAAAAACCAAGAGTAAATCATTAAGCTTCTAATACTGAATCCCCCCCTTCCAAATACAAACAAATTATACCAGGATTACTTACCCCCTTCATTATCCTTAAATAATTTGTTTGCATTTTGATATTTTGGGAAAATGAATTGAAGTTTAATAATTTATGCTTGGTTTATCAGAACTCACTTTTTTAGATACTTTAAATTTCGAAAGTAGAAAAGAATTTGCCATGATTTTATTCCACAGTATAACTTTGTATTAGGTGAGTTTCTGGATCTTGAGGGTGTCTATTTAACCAAGCTTTCGCCAAACTAATTTGAAGTGATTATAAGAAACTAAGTGCAGCATGAAACTTTTGAAAGAAACAATTAAATAAGTTTGAGTCAACTAGCTTTATAGTTTATAGGTTGATAATAGGAAATGAAACTTATATCTTGCATTTATTACTTGAAAGCAAATTTCTAAATACCAACATCTATAACACTCATTCAACTTACACTAAGCATTTTAATTTTCATGAAAAAAGGACTTTTTTTAAAGGTAGTTTTTTAACTTTTTTGATACAAATATATTTTCAACCTTCTTCCACAGTGAAAATCCTTAAATATTTCAACTTTGTAACTTCATTTAATGATGTTTGAAAATTGAAAGACTTAGCAAAGAAAAAAAAAATTATTGTTGTGTAATTAAATAAGATTGGTAATAAATATTAGTTTTTTAAAGCTCCTTATTCTAGAGAACCAGAAACTTATTTCAAGGGATCTCTAATGTTTATTAATATTTTTAAGTTATCCCATTTATGTAACAAAAATTTTTTTGTTAAAAAAAAAAAGAAAAAAAAAAAAGAAAATTCATAACAATTTACACAGTTTAATAAAATCAAAGTGATACAGCTCTTAGAAAATTATTAACAAATCAGAACATTAGATTCATATATTATAGATATTTGATGAGTCTCTCTATGGCTATAAAATAGTGTTGCTACAAAATATTTATATTTTTATACAGATGTCTCGGACAATGAATCAGAAATTTATTATGTATACATACTGAAAATACAAAGCTAAAAATTTCCGTTCACACATATTACTTGAATATGTCATAAAGTCAATCTCTAATACTTTTATCGTCGATATCGATAACGTTTAAAATGAAAGTATAGCTGAAATATGTTATTATGGAATTGGCAACGAAAACCTCTTTTGTAAGAATATTCCCATTCTTTGTTGACAATTTTAAATGCAATATCCTCATAAGGTGGACCCGCTTTAAACCTTAGAATGGCAAAATCTTTATTATCATCACAGACACTTAAACTATATTCTGGAGTTTTAGTTTTGTCAATTAAATCAGGATAAAAAATATTAAATTTATATCCTTGAACAATTTTAGGAGGAGGATTATCCATGTCATAATGGGTCTGATTATACTTATTCCACTCAAAGCCAGTGTGGACGCGATTGAAATATCTCGGTTTACGAGGCCTATATTTATCTGACCAAGTATAAGCTTTGTCTACATTATGTTCAACGCTAAACACTGCCTCATCACTATCCATGCCCTTTTTGGCAATTTTGTGAAAAGCTTTTTCTTCTTCAGACAAAAGATCCATTCCAGATGCAGAGCCTTGTTTAGACAGACGCTTTTGCATGAATTCCAAACGATCAGCATCTTCAACTGGATCCAAAAGAATAACACCTGGTTCAACTTTAGAATAACGAATTAACACAGGACTGTAACGGCCAGACTCATAGGATTCCAAAACAGGTTTTCCAGTAATCTTACTTTTTTCATTATTTTGAACCTCAGTGTTCTTGTTTTCAGGTTCTTTAAAAACGTGATCATTCGTGTCACTCGAAGTAGAAGGTTCATTTCTGTCACACGATGTCGAGGAGGCATTTGTGTCTTTAGAGGTTGATGGTGCATCCGTATCACTTGAATTTGATGCTGTATTTGTGTCACTTAAGTTTGAGGACACATTTGAGACCCTGGATGTAGATGGAGCATCATTATCCTTTAAATCATCAGATAATCTGTTATTAGATACACAAGGAAATAAGGGAGTACGCTCAACTCCTTGTTCTTGTTTGAGTTTATATAACTTATGTCGCAAGTTTTCCTCGTGACGTTCTCGTAGCCTAGCACGGGCCATATAAGCATTGAGTCGTGATAGCAAAGTTTCCCAATAGCTAATATCTAAACCTTCACCTCTCTCTGCAATTTTCTTCTCAATTTGGCGATACATAGCTTGAAGTTGAGTCGGAGATTTACCCTTAAAAATTGAAACTATTTCCGAATTAACCGATGAGTTAATGCTTTCACGATGTTCAGATCCACTCAGTTCTCTTAACTTATGAATTTCATCATCAACTATTATCTGAAGATCTTTCCAGTAATCAAAGTTCTTCCCGTTTTCTAACTCAATGTAGACTTTTATATCTTCTTGGAGGTCCTCAAGATCTTGACTTTTTAGTCCATTTAGATATACATAAGGCTCATGCATCTCAACAGTAAAATCTTCTTCTTCAGAGCTGATATAACGAGCTAATAAATCGATAGGTTTAGCTCTTCCATCTTGAATACGGATTTTAGATCTTAATTTAGCCTGCTGCAAGTGGAATGTATCTTCCTGTTTCTCCCATTCAGAAAAAGTCGCTGCTTCCTTTTCTCTTTGAATTCTCGTCATTTCTGCTTCTCTGAACTCTCGTTCTTTTTCTCTCTCTAAACGACGCTGTTTAACTTTTTCTAATTCCAGCTTATTTTGTTCTAGCTTCTGTCGATTTCTTCGTTCCAACTCTTCTTTATCTAACTTGTTAAGACCCTCCTTTTCCAGTTTTTTCTTCCACACAAATGTATTTAATAAGTTTGTATCACCGAAGGGGTTATCAGTATTTGTGTAGTTTATGTATTCTTTGTCCCATCCTAACACTTTTTCCTTTCTCTTACGTTCTTTCAACTCTTTCTTTGCGAATCTTCTTAGACGCTTCTCTTCCGGAGTTTCTAAGGATTTTAAAAGATTTTTTTCGGATGAATCTTTCTGAGACATGCTTGAAATTTTCAATGAACTCTGACGAAACGTTACTAATTCTCCAAATAATATATATACGTTTCACATAAAAAGAAATAATTAAACAACATTTATCAAAATACAACAAATTTTACTTTGTTTACGTAAATCTCAATAAGTATTGCCATTCTGCTGTTGCTTTTTAACATACTTCTAATTTTTTATTCTTGTTGCCATACCTAATTCTTATGCTTTCAATAAAAACAAGCGCCCTTAAAAGAATAAAAAGATAAAAAATAAACTTGCAAGAAATTGGCTTCTAAATTTAAAAACTCAATTTATTTAATTATTGATAGATGCAATAGATTTAAGTATTTCAGAAATCACAAGCTTAGTTTCGGTTCAAGCGTTCTGCCACTGCGCATGAGCAACAACTTCAATCCAAGGGGCGGCCATATTGCTGTTTCGGATTGATTGTACTGCTGCAAAGGCGGATAATAACTTATTTATCAGTTGCATATATTGTATTATAAAGCTTTAAAACCATCTTACTTTTCATCTGAATATTGTAAGTTTCATTTTTTATATGCCTCTTTTTGTATAAATAGCTTACATATTGCTTTATTTATTCAAATCTGTGTACATACGTTCTTTTTAAAGTAGTAGTTACAGAATCCAGTTATTGACAAAGGAGGAAACTTAAATAATTGCGTTTAAATTATTTTGCTGTGTACATTTTGAAAAAATTTAATTTTTGTTTAAAGTATCAATTAATCAAATGATTATACTTCAACTCAAACGTTAGTAGTCATATGATTGCGTTTGTCAACATAGGGATTAATTACGATAAAATAATTTGCATTAAATTTAAATTAATTACTTGAAGTTATGGATTATTTCCGTATTGTATTGATTATTACTACTTTAATCAAGTTAACAAATTGTAACAATAATGAGTTTGAACAATTAATAAATTTTGAATAAGTAATTCATTACTTTCAACGGATAGAATATAAATTTTATTTTTTTAAAAATATCTACTTTTGATCTTTAGAAAACCATTAGAGTATGAAATCACTTATTAGATTTCAGTGTAAGGAAAAATTGTTCTTTAGTCAAACGAACAAAAAGTTCTAAGATATTGTAGTACTTGGAATAAGCTAAGCATAGTCTATTATGTTTTTTTTTCCTCAGAATTTTCCATGTAAATTTCTATATTCAAAGTTATTAAACTGTTTCATAGCTTTTTGCTCACAGCTATAAAACTTGTTTCTCCAAACATAATTCCATGTAAAAATTATTAATAAATATTTATTTACCTAATAATGGTTAAAAGCAATAACATTAAACATATAGACAAATTCAGTTTAAATAGTTTTTGTGTTATAAAATTTCAAAAAAAAATGTTTTAGTACTTTTATTTTCCAAGGACTATTCGTATTAGTCTGATTTGATTAACATTTTGTATTTTGTCATTTAAAGTTATACTGTTTATAATAATTAAAAAAAATTTCAATTCTTACGATCAAAAATCTTTAACAAAATTTAATAAAAAAATTTTTTTGCCTGGAATTATGATTGAATTGAAAAGGTTTAGAATTATGTGCCAAAATTTTAAAATTAGCTTAAAATAACTTTTGAAATTTAGTGAAATACAGCAATAACAACATGGCAACTGAACTTTTAATGACTGTCAGGACATAACTAAACCATACTTATCTGATTACTACTGTATCTGTAGAAACTATTTCAGTTTGGAAGAAAATGAATTATTTAAAATATAATGCAAAATTTATTTGCAATAAGAAGCATTCTGAATAATTGACAGGTTAGTATAAAAACATACTAATTGGTCAATCGAAGAAAAAATAACTCGATAAATCACAAATCCAATTGTTGGAACCTCAGTATTGATTTGCAACATTATGGTAAAATTCTAAAATTTATCTGCAAAGTATGTTTTAAAATATTTGCAATAAATGTTGCCTTCTTTGTGTCCATAAGTTACATTACTTCATGAAAAGTTCGATTAGGAAGCAGTGTTTTCATCATAGAAAAAAAAATGGGTGAGAATTTCTCACCCTTTCTCAAAAACAGAGTGAGATTTCAAAAACTAAAGTGAGATTTCTAAAAACTGAAGAAAAAAAAATCTCTAGGAAAAATTTTTTTTTTAATTATAATACATTTCTAACGTCTTCTATTTTTTAAAGCATTGAATATTTTTGGTGCATCATCATAGAAGATTTTGCCTTTACAAGGTATTTGTCCATCTTACATTAACACATAAAAAATTTGAACGTCTTACATGAAGAAACCTAACCTACGGTAAACACGTGGTTGCAGAGAAATGTGTCCTGAAAGGGGTTCTGTGGTTGTGTTCTGTTGTTCGAAAAGGTTTTTAACAATACTGGATGTTGAAAATAATGAAAGATACAGGCAGAAAAGTGAAACGGATTTTATTCTAATTGGCGTAATTCTAAGCTTTGTTCGAAAATGCGAGAAATTCGCGATTTTTGAAATTGATTTATAGAATGCGCAAATTTCTCGCGGTAATAATTTTTTAATGCGAGAAAAGAAAAAAATATGCGAGATTCTCGCGCTGTAGTGAAAACACTGGGAAGTATACTTACAAAACTTGAAATTAAATAATTGAAAAGTTATCAATTTGAAATTCATTGATTGAAAAGAAACATTCTATAACAGAAAATCAAAAATGCTTAAAATTTCTATCATTTTTATTAAAATATTAAAAACAAACATTTTTTTTAAAAAAATGTACTGAATTTTGTGTAAACTAAATTAAGTTTAAAACTTTCTAAAATTTGAGAAAGGAAGCAAAATCTCCACCTGTAATAAAATAATTTTGTACTTTAAGCAGTGTACTAAAAACTGAAATAGAAAGTGAAAATAGCCTTCAAAATTTTTTGGATATCATTTCCAAAAATGATCTGCTATAGCCCATTAACAAGCTCTTGGAAAGAAAAAGAATGTTGAAGAGGTCATTCTTTTTAGTTTAATTTGATTTTGTTAAAAGAATTTGGGAGATTTCCGTATTGTGATCTGTGGCAGAATAATCGCCAAGTCTTCTAGGTAACCGGCCAACTAAAAAAAATAATAAATAAATAAAATAACAGAAAGGAACTAATATCCACCTCTGGGCATACATATATTTATTTATTATTTTTTAAAAAATTTTCCTAGTTTAAAATCTGGCGATTGTAGCTCACGCTATGGAAATATCCCCTAATTTAATTTTTTTTTTGTTAAACAAAGTTGGGTTATTTTGTTTGTTGGACTATAATAATTCTGTGCTAGCTGTGTGACTGAGATCACAAATAGTCATTGATAACAGTTATGTTTTTGGAGTGAGAAATAGAGAAAAATAAGGACATAAAATAATGTCAATTAAAATTATGATGTGTAAGTTGTATCCTGGTTTTATTTTTATTAGTATTTGACTCGGTTCTTTTGTTTTAAAGGGACTTATAATTTCAAATAACCACGATTGTACTATAGTGCTTAATTTCAAATTAAAGATTTTAGCCCTTGTTCTTTATTAAGTTTAAATATTTGTACTTCATGTGTTTTATTATAGTTTGAGTATTTTTACGCAAAGAGTTGTGTTTTGATAAGCTATGAAATTTCGTTCCTAAGATGTATGAAATTAATTAATTTAGGTGGAAAAACATTGAATCAAGATGTCTAGTGGACCATATAACTATTCATATATCTTCAAATATATCATTATTGGTGACATGGGAGTTGGAAAGTCTTGCCTACTACACCAGTTTACAGAGAAGAAATGTTAGTATATTTTCACTTTTAATTAGTGTTCTAAAAAGTAAATCATGTATAGGGAAGAGTGCTTTTTTCAATTAAACTTATTTAATTTTTGCTGTTGACATATAAGTAATTAGATAATGATAGTTTTTGTTATCAGTTAAGCTTTTCTTATGTTCTTTTTCTTACCTAGTAGGGGTTCACAACCTTTTTGAGCTTTTTGTAGGGGGCCACCCCTAAAGCAGAATTTTTTTGGGCTTTCTGCGACACACCTCTCTAGCGCTAATATCTCTCTGCAAGATACTTTTAATAATAACTAACATATATGTTATTAATTAAATTTAAAGTAACAGAAGCGTTTTATTTACAAAGAAGAGCCTATTTGGATATAAAATTGTATATATTTTTTTGAAAATGAATATGTAATAGTTAGTTATTCTAATATCACGGGCGATATTGTCACTTTTTGTGAGAGGAAAACACACTAATTATTTCTTTTTTTGCATTTCGCAAATCATCATCATTTAAAAAAATAATAATTGAAATTCGTAAAATCAATGAAAGAAAAGAAAACCAATTTTTTTTTCCACAGATGGGAATAAAAAAAATCACCAGCATTTCTTCCCCTTTGATGAGTGAAAAAGGTATCTCTTGAGTATGATTGTGGAGGGATAAGAATCTTTCAAACATTTCTACAGAAAAGAAATTTTTGCATCAATATTCTTTATTTTTCATTCTTCTCAAATAGGAACTGAAAATTTAAGAACATTTCTTTCCCCTCCGATGCGTTAAAAAGCATCTCTCAAATATGATTTTATAGGAAAAAGAATTTCAGAATTTTTGCAGAAAGGAAAACCAAAATTTTTTACTTTCTAAAAGGAAATTCTTTATGCAAAAACTCTATCATTCTGCGACAATTTCGCCTTGTCGCTGCGATTTTGCCACGGGGAAGGCCACTTGCACAGCAAATTGAATAATAAAGGGCCTCAAACGTACTTAGACATGTTAATGTCTAATGACAAAAATTTATGGTTGTTTTCAGTCTAAATGTAAACAACAACAATCTAGAGCTCTTGACCTGCTCTACTTCCAGTTAAAAAGTATACAGCTGATTACTACAGCTTACTCTGCAAGGCAATATTTTCAAACAGATAATTTTGTTTTTAATAAAGGCAATAAGTTATGAGCTCAAAGTTAATTAGAGATTTTTTTAGTTAATTTGAAATCTTTTGTTAAAGTTGTCATGATTGTTAGATTTAGAAAGAACTCGCACAGACAGTTCTGATTTCGCCTCGTTTTACTTCTTTATTATTGTTTGTTCTTGGTGCAAGCCATGCACCATCATATGTTAGTGTTAGTATATTGCTTGAGCAGCGAAATTAAGTTTTTTTTACGAATTATCATTTAGGTTTAAATTTCGAAGTTGGTATATTGTTAGCAAAGGTAGAAGTATTTTATAACATTTCTTTTTTTCAACTGACAGTTCTTATATCTTGAAATGACATGTTTTCAAATGACTATTCTTATTATGATTTTTCTTTTAAAAATAATAGTAAATCAGGTAACAAATACATATAGATAAGGAATACTACTCAAGAGAATCTCAAAACACAATGATAATGTTGTGAGCCAAATGACTTCAAAACACACCAAAAACAGTAACCCAGAAGTGTAGGCAGTCAAGAGCTTGATGTATTAAAAATATATAAAAATTGGATAAAAAGAATACTTTTTTATTTTTTGTCATATCACTTAGTACAAAAAATAATTTTAAAAAAAATTTAAACTTTTAAAAAAAAAAATCTTCACAGAAAAAAAGTATAAAAAATAAATCAATAAATGCATATTTTGATGAGTAATATCAATTCATATTAAATATTTTAATGAAGAAAATTTATAGGATTTAAACAAAAACCAAGGATTAAAATAAAACCATTGTTGTACAAAATAAGGTTCAATATTTATCAGGTATTATACTTCAGATATTATTTCTATTTCTTGAATTATTTGAGGTTTCGTGAATTTAATTACTAAATTTTTTCCTGTAAAAAGTACCTAAATTAGAGAAAATTAAAAAAAAAAATTACAGTGAGCAGCTTAGAAATTCACATTTTCCAAAACTTCTCAAAATATTCATGTTGCAATTACATTGTATTAAACTATCAGTATAGTATTCTGTATTACATTGGATTAAAATATCAGAATACATGGATGGCTCATGAATTAAATGCTCAGAATCATGGATTAAATGCTGCTGAAAAAACAGTAATAGAATAAGGAATATTGACTATGAAATAAGACATAAAATTGTATCAAAAAGTGATTATTTTAATGCACGATTAAAAACTCATGTGTTGTTATAACATTGTAGTTGGAAAGAAACAGGATCGTTTAAATCACATGGAAAAACATTGCAATAATTGCGCACCAAATTGCTCTAATTACGATGAAACCAGTACAAATATTTGATACCCTTCATTTGTCCTGATTAGTGATTAATAAGTAATTATTTAAATGCGTTATTTAAATTTGCATGCCTTTATAAAATTAAGGATTTTTAAATCCCCATGAAAATGTAAAGCAATAACTTCCGGAAAATAGCTGAAAAACAACTTAGATTTACGATGAAATCAGTTCGAACAAAACACCAAAAAAAAAAAATTATTATTTAAATGTGCGATTTGAAACTCTTATTTTGTAATAATTTCTAAGTAAAAATTTGGCATTTTTAAAATCACATGAAAAAGCGTAGCAAAACTGCCTTTTAAAAAAAATTAATGAAAAGAAATCATTTCTTTTTACGATGAAATCTGCGTAAATATAGTAAAAAATTGCATGATTAAAATATTAAATGCACGATTTAAAACTCACAAGTTATAATATCGTATTAAATGTATCGGAATTTTAAATACTTGGAAATTATAAAAAACTGACAAAAAAAAGGACTGAAAAATCATTTGGATTTCAGATGGAATCTATAAAAATAGAGCGAGACAAAAAGGGATTACTCAAATTCAAAATTTGACTATCTTAATATCTTATTAAAAGTATTGGATTTTTTAAAAACCATGTGAAATTTCAAAGCAATAATGGCAGAAAAAGCCATTGAGAAACATAGATTCATAATAGAATCTATGTAAATTGAGCTTGTCAAAAAGTAATTCAAATGTGTGATTCAAAATTTTCGCCATTTTTTTTAACTTTTCAAAAAAAAATTTATGATGCTCAAAAACTTTTGTGGGATGCTGGTTGTGTACCTCTAACTTACAGTTAGTATTATAAAAAGTAAAGTATTTCCTCAATAGCCCGGTGGCTATGGTAAAGGACGCTAAGGCTCTGCAATTTCATGACCAAAGGCGTGATTGTGGCAATGAGATCAGCATAACTTACTTCTGCCTTTACTTCACATATAAGCTTTTGTCCATTGATCTAAAGCTGGGGGGAGGCCAGCCACCACACCATTGTGGATCAAGCTGCAATTCTTCACAGTGACAGTTATGTGCATTAATTGAGTCATCGTGACTCACAGTAAATATTATAATACATTACACTTTCAAGTTAGTGTCAATAAGTTTTGCCATTGACTAGTTGTAGTATTTTTAAGTGACCAATTTTTTGAAATTTGAAAATCTCAAAATATTGAAGACACTGTTGACTGTTAATGTTAGTAATGTAAAGCATTTCTTTTGAATCATTTCTCATAAGATATCAAACATTACAATGTTAGCGTATAAACGGGGAGAAAAGCCATGAAGCGAACATGAAATAAAGTAATTTTTCAAATATTATAAAATATTCATAATTATTTGATGTATATTTTTTGAAAAAAAAATTCTAATGGATTTCATTTTGAACAACAACAACAAAAAAGTGACGCTCGGGTGGTGAGTGTCAGACAATTTTTTAATCGCCCTTTGTTATTTTGAAGCACCCTATAAGTAATTGTTTGTGACTATTAATTTTACCGTATATTTTATGATATCAGTTGTTTGATATTTAACTTTTTTAGCAATTTAATGTAGAACTGATTGAATTTTTTTTAGTTATGGCGGACTGCCCTCACACTATTGGTGTAGAGTTTGGAACAAGAATTATTGAAGTGTGTGGACAAAAAATAAAGTTACAGATATGGGACACTGCTGGCCAGGAAAGGTTTCGAGCTGTAACCCGAAGTTATTATAGAGGAGCTGCAGGCGCTTTAATGGTTTATGATATTACTAGGTAGGACTCAAAATTGTTTATTTTTTCCTATGTAAATCAAAAGAAATACTCATTGTTATAATTATTATATATACAGTAGAATCATAATTTCCTACTATAATTTTAGTGCATGCACTTATGAAATATTTATTCACAAGGGCATGCATTAATCTTTAAGTTAGAGTGCTAATGTGTCTTTTGTGATGCAAGTGAATGACATAAAATTTATGTTTAACTTAAAACCTTTGCTGTGACTCTGAACATCTTTTGTTTGGATGCCTCTGACAACCAAAAATTTGAAGAATTGGCAGTTCCTTTTATAATAGTTTTCTTTTAATTTTTTTTTTAAACTTAAACACAAATTTCACACCAAAATAATAGAAAAACAAGGAAAATGGTGTAAGAGTAGCTATTTCCATACATAAGACCAGATATTTAAAATCAGAAATTTCTTAATTTTTTTTATGGAACCTTATTTAATAATTTATTTTTTTTGATTATGTGCCACAAAATCTTATGAAATAGTATGTGTTGAAAGTTGAGAACCAAACCATTTATTAGTGGTTTTTTAAAATGTCTCATATATGTAATTGTTACTTTGTCTATTAAAAAGTTATCTAATTTAATTACTAATTTGTTTCAAGCTAGTTCCAAAATGGACATGTTCGTATGAAATTGCTCTAAATTATTTTAAATGTGTTCACAACTGCTGTAAAATATACATTTCCCCCAAAAATTTGCTAAATCTGCTGCAAATAATGGCATTTTATTCAAATTTAATTTGTATTTGAAAAAGATTTTTAATTTTGATAATTAAAGAGCTGTATTGAATCAAAATAAAATTCAAAAGTATGTTAAATACTTCATTTTTCATTACAAGTCCAGTTAAATTGAAATTATTGAGTGAAATAGCTGTTTCAGGGTAGCTTCACACTCAATTCTTAATCTGGTATTTTATTTTTTATTTATATTTCGTTTGAATTGGTTTTATGTCTTTGCAGGAGGAGTACTTATAATCACCTCAGTAGCTGGCTGACTGATGCACGGAACTTGACCAATCCGAATACAGTAAATTATTTTTATGTTGCTAGATGCAATTGACTCTTAATTCACTTATTAATGCCTCACTCTGGAGGATTGAGTATTTTATAGATATGTTGATGAAAAGCTATAAAAAATTTTAACACTTCATGTTGTTAATAAGACATTAAATATTACAAGATGATGTGAATGAACTAACTTATATGGAATGTACTTATATTTATATCTACAATAGCTTATAACAATATATTACAACAATATATTACAAAGCACAAATCTTCAAATCAAATGAATTGTTGGTCAAATCAAACGAATTAAAAGTCTATAGCAATTTTTTTTTGTAAATAAATAATTGATCAATTTATATTTATTCATAAAATTAATTAATAGAATATTATGTTAATAAAAATTCATTTCTGGCTATTTTTTAATTAAAATATTATACATTTATGAATTGTTTAAGTAAGCTTAATGCGTAACACATTAAAAGTGATGCATAACTAAGTTGTGTTATTTAAAATATGTCAATCTAAATTATTAAAAATATGAGTGATTTTTGTTTTCATTATTCATCCGAAATTAATATTCTGCGTTGAGCAGTATAGGCTAAATACCAATGTTGCATCTCTAATTTAGTAGCAGCGATTGTTGCGCAGAATCTTGTATCTATTTACAATTTAAAAACTTCTTGAAAAGGTTTTTAGCAATTTTTGCATTAACAGGACCCTATTTACACAAATTCACAAAAGCAGGACTCTGGTTGAAAGAATGTGGCTTAACACTTATTTTGTATTCACAAATTATGAGTAATTTTTTCACAATTGTACAAAAACAGGCCCTTTCACAAAATGTCTGAACAGACTCCTGGCTTGTTTGGGATGTAAAAGTCCTTCACAGCTTTTATAAAGAAGTTTTCTATAAACACTTTGTTATAAAGGATCGCCAATTTAAAAACTAATTATTGAAAATGGAAAACTAATTTGTACTTAATGCATGAATAGTTTAAATTTTAAAAATACTAAATTTTACTTAACACTTTTGAATTCAATCTGTATTTTTGACATTCTTGAGTTTTATTATAATTCTGCACTTTAATCATATTACTAATATTATATTCTTAAAAAAAAATATATATATATAGATTTTAGTTGATTAATAATTGGTTTGAAGGGAATTTAATTAAAGTAATTAATTTTAGTTTTCTAATTTTTTACTGTTAAGGTCTAAAATATTTTAAAATTATTCCATTCTTTTATTTGATTTCAAGACAAATAAGTTTGCTTTAAAATTTTAAAGCAGTGAATCAACCGTTTCAACAGAATTTTTTTTTTTCCAGGTTATATTTCTAATTGGTAACAAATGTGATCTGGATGCTCAACGAGATGTGACTTATGAAGAGGCTAAACAATTTGCAGATGAAAATAAATTAATGTTTGTGGAAGCAAGTGCTAAAACGTAAAATTAGAATTGTTCTTTTGATTACCAATCTCTTTTTGCTTTTTATGTGTTATGACAATGGTTATGTACCAATAAATCATCAGGCTTTGATAAAAAAAATTTTTCATCAGATCATATTTAAAAAATTTTAGTGAATTAGGTTGTGCTAATTACTTATGTTATGACAAAATATTCCTTAATCTTTAAGAGTGTTGTATTTCTTCAATACCTTCATATTGGCCATCTCTAAGGCCTTAAATTTTATTTTGCTATGTTTCCTTCTTAATGTGAAAGTTTTTTTTTTATGACCTGAATGTAATTTAACCCACTGACGGTTCTGCACGTAAAAAGTCGCATTTTAACCTGCAGCCTTCTCTGCATAGCAAAACCGGTTTTCCCATGTTAACTGATAGGGGAACTGTGTGTAAGGGAGAAACATTCTCCCAATTTTGCCCACTTCCTTAACCGCCAGTGGGTTAAATATTGCAGAATTTAAGTATTTTTGTGTGTTTTAAGTAATATGAAGCACCATTTCTGAGTGTGCACTGTGCCAATTCTTTTTTCTGCTCGAATTTATTAAAACTTTTGATGCTTTTTTCCTTTCCATTTGAGTGGTTTTGTGCTATTTAGTCGAAAGTATTCTAGTTTAAATTAAGGAGATTTTAAGAATATGACTACCTAATAGTACCTTTTTTAAAGCATTAAAAAGTAATTCAATACATTAGGTAAAACCAAAAAAAAATGTTGTCGAAAATGTAAATTGTAAAATAAATATATTATCTTTAGGGCAATATATCATACATATTTTATTTAAATAATTAAAAATACTTGAAAATAATAGAATGATGAACAATTAAAAAAATTACATGGGTAGCATGTATAATAGTAAAAGTAAGTTTTAGTAATAATGGGATTTAATAATTGAGTAGATTTTTTTTTTTACATAATGTAGCTTTAAGTTAAATAACAAAGTTTCTAGTTGTCCTGAATTTTTTTATATTTCCGATTAGGAAATATTTGTCCCTTATTTTCAGCTATTTGTTCTAATATTTCTGACTTGTATTGTGAAACCCTATTAAGAATATTTGATTAAAGAAGTTATGACCTTGCTTGCAAATTTTAAATAGATATTGTTGTGAAGGAATATTAGCTATTTGATACTGTTATTATTTTTGTTACTGAACAGTACAACTAAAATTTCTTAAATATTGATCACAAACTGTTATGAGTTGCTTGTAGCTCTATTAATAGAATTATTTTGGAAAAATTGTTAAAACTTAATTTTCAGAATGAAGAAGTTACTCTGAAATTAAAAATAGTATATTTTAATAAATTTTTTTTTATTTGCCATAAAATTTCGCCTTATTGTACTTCAGTAGAGCAAATAAGACTTTTTATAGTTTATTGTTTCTGTTTTTAAAAAGTAGTCTGGTACATTTATACTGTATGAAAAATTTACGTTTATCAGAATTGTTTTTTCAATTAAAAAAAAATGCATTTTGAAAATGTTAAAAAAATTAATAAAATCATAATACAATACAAATTAAATGACACTGATGGTAGAAAAATTCTAAACAGAACGAAAAGAAAGGTAAGTAACTTAGACAAGCACCTCATTTTCTTTTATGCTTTGATTGTGACAAGCATAACTTGTCTCTTATGAAAGATTTATTTTATTTAAAAGAAGAAATTTAATTATTTATGAACATTGATTAAAAACATCTATGATTTTTCCTACTTAATTGTTTGGGTAACACTTTAAACCATTTTAAAACTCAATAAGAACTGAAATGTAAATATTTATGAGATTGGATTAAACTGTGTAATCTTCATTTAAAAAAAAATTTAATTCTGCATATTATTATTATTTATTTTTTCTTTTAAGCTTCTGCTACAAAATCTTTGTGTACAGTATTTTAATTGAATCTTCACAAACCATGGCTTTTTTTTTTTTGTATCCAAATTATCCCTTTTCAATTATCTTTGAGAAAAATGTTTGTGTAAATATTTGTTCTGTTTTAATTCTAATTGAAATTGTTAAAGAATAATATTATTTTTTAGTGGAGAAAATGTGGAAGAGGCATTCTTAGAAACAGCTAAAAGAATATACCAAAACATTCAGGATGGAAGGTACTTAACAATTTGTATTAAAATTTGGTTTTAAACTTTTTTTTGTGAATTTTTAATTAGTTTTTCTACTGGTGCCCATAACTTCATAATAGTTATATTATAATTTTTTTTCTGTCTAGTGATAGATGGTTCTGAAATTTCTGGTAGTTTTTTTTCTTCCTGCAATAATTATTTCTTTAGTCGTTTTACTTTGTTTTTTCAAATTCAGGTAGATTTAATACATTTTTAGGACATGCACAAATTTGAGTTATCCCTTTTTTGAAGCATTTGATTCACATCTTTTAATGATAGATATTTGTATTTTATTTGTCAATTTTTGATCACTATCGTATGGTTTTTGAAATTGTGATATTTTAAATATGTTTTTATAATGATGTTATACATGACAATTCGATCGTAATGTCACATCATTTGATGATTGTTATTTCCCAAGTTATTCATTTTTTTTTTACCTTTTCACATTAATTTTTAAACTCATGTTTTCTATTAGAATGTGAGCATTTCGTATATAAGTTTATCATCACTTTTTGATGTGTTGAATTTATGATGATTCTGTAAGGAATCTAAATCTTTTTTTTTTAATCATTTCTACTTTTTTTTCTAACTTGTTTTTTTATTATTACGACAAGCATATAATTCAAATTTAAGGAAGAAATGTTTTTTTTACCTGCTCAGTTCGCAGCAATCTTATAGTAAATTTATGACAGCTGTTGGTTGTTTTTAAGCCATTTCCATGTGGTTTTTTTTTAATTCCGATATTTTTAATGCTATGTTAAGGCTAAAGAAATTCATATTTCAGTAATCGCTTTCGTATACCCTTGATTCGTGATGATTTTATCATAAATCCACATTAAGTTCTGATCGCTCTTTCTGTAATTTGATCTTGTGAGGAGCTGGACAACAGAACTAAATCCTCTTTTTACTAAGTACGCTTACTGGAACAAGGTGAGGAGCAGTTCAGTTTTTTTCCACAATTGTGGATAAGTGTGCATAACTTTATCCATGGTAACTCGTTACCATGCTTTTTGAAAAACGACTTTTTCTTCACAGTCATACTTCAGATCTAGAAATTCAGTCTGTTACGAGGAAATGAGCTTATCCACAGCTTCAAAAGAGGAAGGGTCAAAAATCCAATCCGGAATTTCTCATTTGGTCAAATTTTCCTATCTTGATTTCATATCAGTTTTTAACTCATCAAGGTGTTTAGAACAAGTTAAGATTTCGTTTTCAAAAATCTCGTTATCTGCCATTGAACACTTTTTAAAGGTCGGAAACTGAATCAGCTCTTCAAACTTGGCTGTGAATGATATGATTCCTTTAGCCTTGATAATGTTCATATGTTGCTATATGTTGATTTCATTAATTTTTTCCAAAATATTTGAGGTACATAATTTCCAACTTGCATTGCTTCAAATTCTCACTTAAAACAGGATCAGTGGATTCGAGAAACTCCGTAACAGAGTCAAATATTTCAAAGAAGCTGCACAAACAATTTCATTTTTCTTGCGGCCCTATGTGAGAGCCCTGACTTCTTATCATTTTCATGGCAAAGTTTTAGGAACAGTCATTAAGGGAATTTGCTTTGCTCTTATTGGTGCCAGAAATAATGAATTGTAAAGTTTTGTGCAGGACACCTAAATTTTTTTGCAGCCAAATGATGATGAATAACATAATGAATTGCGATAATCTCAAGCACTTCTTTTTTAATGTGGGCCAGAAACCCAGCATGAGGACCAGACATGGCAGTAGCACCGTCTGTTGCTTTAACGTTCACATTTGTAGGGGTATTTCTTTTTCCTTAAAATATCTCACCAATTTAAATATTGATGATCCCTTTGTATCAGTGATCAAAGTTCTCACAGCATTTCCTCGTTGATCTGCTTATGCTCATTAATAAACCTCACATAAGCTGACACAAGGGCTTTGCTATCAATCAAAAATTTGGTGAGTTTAAATTCTACACCTACGGCCATTTTGTAGATTCACCTGGAAACAATATTGTTGCTCAGACGAACGAAGTCTTATCTTACTACTCAAGCCTTCACCAGTCATGATATCAATTATTTTTTTGGTAGCAGGTAAAACAAAAGTTTCGCCAATTCTGCGAGGTTTGCCCCATTTAGCTATTAATAAAGACACTTCGTAGGAAGCAAGAAGACCTTTGTCAGGATCAGTTGCTTGTCTTTTAAATAGTTCAATCAAATTAAGCCATTTATCAACTTTACTTTTGAGATCTTGAAAATAACTAAGGGGTTTACTCATTCTGTCACTACGTATTTTTGAAAAATGGTCTCTCAATCGCGAGGGCCTCATTGTAAGTAAATGTTTTGCCGCATAAATGACAGCTTGTTTATCTATCTGCTTCTCCTGTAACAAATTTTTAAATTGGGAGTCATTGAGACTAGAGAGGATCGTTTGTGTCGAAGTTGGGGTATAAAACCCTAGTGGATCTCAGCCATGACCATTAGGTAAAGATACTTCTATTCTCGAAGGTCAGATCTTTTCTAAAAAAAGCCCTTTTTTAACATCTGGAATAAAAACTGCTTTATTTCAAATGCATAATATTTATTTTATAATATTAATCTGTCCATTAATATTTGATTTTACTTGGGATTTATTAAATACTTTAAATGGTAACATATTTTTTTTAATAGAATTTAATGTTAAATATCATCTGCACAATTCAGGGAATATCTTGACTCACAGGGAATTTTAAAGTGTCTTTTGTTTAAAATCTTCTAACTGTGGGAAAGATATTCCATTATAGTAATCTGTGCAGAATGTTGCCATAATATTATTGTGTTACTTAAGATTTGCATTATATGGGATACTACTTTACCATTATAAACTTTCAAATGTTGAATAATTTAGTAAAAATTCTCTCACAGATTGAATTTTTATTTCAATTGGCATTTACTAAATGAAAACTTGTTAGCTGTTCTTTACTCTAGATAAGCTGATACCACTTTGGATACAGAATTAAATAATTGAAAGGAAAGTATGCATCTATAGCATGCAGAAACACAGAAATTATTGTGGATACTTAAATTAATTAAGATATTTTAATGCTAATTATTGCAAAATAAAAAGTTATCAAATGTGTCCATTTATTTTAAAAATACTTTAATCTAAAATTTTTTAAAAATGGCATCTATGGCTGATTTTGTTAAAATTTTTTATTTTATTATTTAAGTCTTGATTTGAATGCTGCTGAATCTGGTGTGCAACATAAGCCAACAGCTCCTAGAAGTGCACTCAGTAATGACCAGACACCTAGCAAAGATGGATGTGCTTGTTAATTGTTTTCTTTTCTATGGTTAACAGGTAATAATACAATTGCTTCATATGTTTTATGTGTTACTTATTATTGGGACAATTAATAATATAATTTGAAACTCCTCTGATCTTGAACAAAATGTTTTTAAGTTTCTTTTCCTTTTTATTATTTTTTTAAACCTATTTAGCGTGGAATTTAAATAAAGAAATCCCCACAGGGTGCAGATTTAAAATTAAATAATGACGTGTATACACATTCAGAGCAAATAAGACATATAAATTTTACAAAAAAAGGATTTCTGAAAAGAATATTGTTATCATTTGTAATTTTTTATTTCACACAACAAGTATACACATCAAACACACTGCTGTAGAGATTTGATATATATAGAGAGAGATTTGATGTATATATGCCTAACATGCTTAACTGGTTAAAGTTGTTTTAGTATATATTTCCTGACATAATTATAATGCAAAAAAATTTTATTGCTACAAAAATGTCGAATAAGCAAGAGTTGATCCTCAAATATATAAAATGTTTTCTGAAGATGAAAATTAATAATGTGAACTAAGCACCAGACCTATTCAGCATTTTTAAATCTCAATAACCACTGTGAATTGCTGTGAAGAGGCAGAAGTTATAAGAGCACTGAAAATTTTATCTTTTTTAAAACAAAGCAAGAAATATGCTTTATATATAGAAAGAAGGTATTTCATAAGATCAAATTAATTTTTGTATAGTATACTGAAAATCATTGAATTCAAATAATTTTTTTATGTTTGGTAATTTGCACATCGTCATTATTTAACAAAGGAAGAATTTTTATCCATTATGTGCTGAACATAATGATAACGTTTTTATTAATTTCTTATAGTTTAAGTTCTTTTCTAAGGTAATAAAAAAATAATTCCTTATTTTTTATAAATTTGAAATTTAAATTTTTTTTTAACCTGAAAGTTTCACTTGAATTAAAACACTTAAAAATTTGTTCTACCAGCATTATTATAAATTAAAAAACTTACAATTATTATTATTTTAATGGTGATAAGCCAATTCCAAGTTATTTAATTTAAGCTGGTTTTCAGAAAGGCAACTTGTCAAATTGTAAATACTGTCCTTATATATTTTTAGAATCTTTGTCAAAAGGGAAGACAAAAATGTTTATTTGATAGTTATGAATTAATATTTTAGGGAGGAAAACGCAGTTAATATCTTATAAATTACCAGTAATAAAGGTGGCTCTACAAAATGTCAAAACTTAATTGATTAATAGAGAGAACAAAGAAAGTTAAAAGACAATTATAAAAACACCTTCAAATCTTAACTGGCAATCATCATCTTCGAATTTTAATATAATACTTCTTTCTTAAAAAAGGTTTTTTACCCTTTTCTTCTGCTTAGGTTAAAAAAAAAACAATTTAATATGTGAGTCAAATATATAGCAAGCCGCCTTCACATTAAATTTAAGTGTACACCCAAAAGCCAGAGGATGGTAAATTTATAATTAAAAAATATATGAAATTATAATTAATCTAAATTACTTTATCTATCAATGGATAATTAAATTAAAGTTTTAAATGTAAGTTGTATTTGTTTCTTATGTAACTTACTGGAGTCCCACAAATATTAAGTCTGCTCCGATGCACGAAACTCGCTCCAAATTTTTTCAACTTTTGAAAAGTAAACGTTTCATGGTCAACTTCTCAATTTTTAAAAAAAAAGTTAAGGAAATTCAGAAAGAATGGTTAGGAAATTTAAAAAATGGTAAAGCACATTTTACTATTTTTAGAAAGGTTGGGGACATTCTTACTGAATCTGGTTTTAGCATTCTGCTTAAAATGTACCTATCGTATTTTAATATTTCTAAATGTATATTTCATAGGAATTTTTATTTTTATGAAAAAGTTACAATTAAAAATACAGTGGGCGCAGCGCTGAAAAATATTTTATATTGTAATGGAAAGTTTGATTTCAAAACATTTTAATTGAACACAAAATTGTTTGTAACAAAAACAGAAGGATGGAATGTCACCACTCTTTTAAAATAATACTGATATAACTTATTTGACTGTTTTTGAATAGTATGGTTAGATCATCTTGGAGTAAGCTCCAAGAATTCTAAGTCTGGAAACTGACCCATTATGAAAAATATGCCACCAATAGATATGTGATTAAGGTCCCATTAAAATTTTCCAATTTTATTCAGAAGTACCATAGTCTAGTTAAGTTATGTAATTTCTGTGTTAATTAATGTGTTATTATGTAATTATGTTCCTGTGTTAACTGTTTAAATCTTGTTAAATTGGTTAGATTATTATTCTTTTTGAATCAAATGCGAGACATGCTTAGTAAATAAGCCATCTTTTCATAATTAGTTGTTTTAAAATGGGTTTTTACTTATAATTAATTTAATAATTTTAAGCTTTTAATTTTTGTAAACATTTTCTTTTTTAGGATTAAAGCCTTCATTGGAAGAGTTTGATTTGATTAATGTATGCTGCGGCTACTGTTTAGTAGCTCTGATGGTCATTATCAGCTATTATTACCATCATTGCAGCTTTAGTTTATTTTTCACATCAAAAAGGGGAAATTGGAAGCATCTCATTTGGCACCATAGATTTTGTAATTCTAATTCAGTGAAACATTCTCTGTATATTTATCAGTTAGGACCTGCACCCCTTTTTCTTCTCAAACTAGAACTCTTCCTCTCTACATTTATTAAACTAGGAAAAAAATCCAATTTGATTCAATTTATCCATTGCAATTTTGTTTCATTATTTATAAAATTTGCTGTAAATTTTATTTGCAATCTTGGCTAATTCTTTGATTTGTAAATGAAGTTGACTGCTAATAGTTCATAAGATATATTGATTAGTTTAAACAAATTGTGCCTTTCTTATTTGCTTGTTACATTAAATGCTGTTTAAATTTTTTTTGCTCCAATTGTTTAAGATAACTACATTTGAGAAACCTAGACATTTAAAAATTTATTTTCTTGTATATTTTTTTAATTCTGTGATTTATGGCAGAGTCATTTTTTTAATTGTAAAATATTTTAATAAGGGACCATTTATAATAACATCCCTTTAAATGGCATGTTTTAACTTTTGTTTTTTAAACAAATAGTTTATGTAACACTTTTTAATTATATTGTTTGCTGTGGAGCTATTCCCTTTTTCTATGAGACAATTTTTTCATTTTAAACAGCCTCCTGATAAAAATTGGTTTTTTAAACTTTCTAACAATTAAAATTAATTTAAGACTCTGCTTTAACAAGATGTATATTTGTTGAAATTATAAATGTTTCCCATATGTATTGTTTAAAGTGTGTAAAGTATGTATTTTGTATTAAACAAAACTGTATTGTTGGATGTATAGTTGCATCTTTGTTAAATTAACATCTTTCTTCACCCTTAGAGTATTATGTTTAATATTTTATTATAACAGTATGCAAAATTATTTAAAATGATTTGTTTTATGTGTATATTTAGCACTTAAAATAGAGATTATATATTTGTTAAAATTTTATTATTGCTGTTAAAGCCTTTATTTTTATTTTTATTAATCAACAATCAAGCGTTAGTGTAGATTTTATAAAGAAATTTTTAAAAAAGTTTTTTTGTTGTTATATAAATAGTGTTTAAAATTCTCTCAATTAACCACTTTCTATCATATTGTCACTTATTGATGGGTAAAAATGTATTATTTTCTTTCCAAATTCAATTGTTTTTTTTTACTTATAGTTCTTCCATTTTCGGTCAGTTTCTAAAAATGCGATCCATTTGTATGTCAATTTAATACTAAAAATCATATGCTATGTGATATACTTGTAAGTCCAAAAGATTGTTTAATTGAGTTATTTGGATGAGTATCTAGTATTTGAGTGATTCCATAGGAGGCTATTTTTGTGTACAAATTATGTATATATATATATGCATGCCATATTTTATGTTATCAATGTGCATATAATTTCCTCTCCAAATGTTTTTGTCTGTATGATGGAAGTGGGATTTCATTAAAAGTGAAGGAGAATGCTAATTGTATTTCTCATTAGTGTTGAAGAATTTCGTATAATATTTAAATTCCATATAGACTGAAATAAATATTACTTATTTACTATTTATTCTTTCATTGCATTGAAGGTTTCTCTCTCTTGGTGCAATATTTTATTTTTCATCTTTCACGTAAAAATAAAGCCATTTCATTTAAAATTACTTAAGTATTTTTAATTAAAAATATTAACTCTTTTGTTCTTGGAGATGAAACAGGATAATTTCAATTAATGAAGAACAAATATCTTTGTTCTGGCCACTCTTGAGCAGGAAAAGTTCTATTTCGTTCACTGCTTTTCTGCAAGTTGGTAAAACCGAGGATCTTCATTACATATAGATGGGTAATGTGTTGCGCTAAGTATGGCATATGTTTTGTTACAAAGAAAAACTTATGAGCACTTTTGATTTATTAAAATTTAAAAAATATATTTTTCCATAGTTGGAGCAATTTATAAAATATCTTATTTTTAAAAAATATATATTTTTTTAATTTGTGGTTTTAAAGTCTGCTAAATTTATACAGGATGTTCAAAAAGTATGAAAACAGCGGAATATCTCTAAAAAGACGCATTAGATTAAAAAAAAAAAGTATTTTAAACATTTTCAAGAGATTCATTCAATGATACCAAGCTCAACGCCCCCTGGCGTGAGTAGAGAGCAACTTCAAAATCTCAAAAAGGAACCCTATATTTTTTTTAATTACATATTAAGATTTCCCGGTGAAAAATCCTATTTTGATTAGCATTTTTTTTTTTTTTTTTTTTTTTTTTTTTTTTTTTTTTTTTTTTTTTNTTTTTTTTTTTTTTTTGTTGCATTTTGGTTCACAGGTGGAACTGTTATCGCGTGATATAGTGTGATAAAAATCGTTTAAATGAGGATATCTCTAAAAATGTATTCCAGATTGAGAAAAATTAAAATAGACATCAATATAGGTAACATGTTAATTTTTTGGATATTAAATTGGTGCAGGATAAATATTTAAAAAAAATCACCTAACTTGACCCTGCACCACCACCTAAAGCATACATGAATAGTATGTTTTACTCCCCAAACTCGTTTTGCTTCATGGTGCTAGAGAGTGGTGCCATTATTACAGGGTTCCCACGGTCCTTGAGAGTCCTTGAATTTTTTTTTGCTAAATTTAGGTCCTTGAAAGTGCTTGAAAAACGTCTTAGGTCCTTGAAAAACTTGATAGGTCCTTGAATTTGTCCAATACTGCCGGCGGCCCTTTTTATAAAACACCCGCGGATCTTTCTCGTTCTTTCTGTTTTGTTCCCGAGCTCTCTCACGTGGTTTTTAACGCCACCGTTTCTAACCGGGCCTAGCGTCTTGGTGTCTGCCAAGCGCGCGGAGCACAGCAGACAATCAATGCGTTCGGGGCGAGACTCCACTTCATCTTCTGTCGCATATGCTTAGATCTTCTTTTTTCTTATCGAAACTGGAATACTCTCGAATTTCGTAACAATATGTACCTTGTAGTTTTCAATAAATTTGCCGTTTTACCATCCGCACTTGTCCTTACGTTTGCGTCATTTCAAAACTTTATTGTAAAGCGTATTCGCAAAGGCACGGCTTCGTATTTGTGTTATGTAGTTTAGACTAGTTATGCCTGGGAAGTGCTATTTTAATCCCCAATGGATGGATAATCAAGCTTATAAAGAATGGATTTTATCGATGCCCGAAAAGAAGTTCAGAGCCAAGTGCCGATTATGCATGAAGGAGATCGATATCGCGAAAATGGAAGAATCTGCTCTGAAATCACACATCAAAGAAAGGTAAAACAAAAAAGCAGTCTCATGCCCTGAGTTCTCTTTTTCCAAAGACATCAACATCTAATTCATCTGGTGTAAATACTCCTTCAACATCGTGTGCCCCATGTGAAACAGAAACTTTAGTGGCCGAGGTAACATTGTCTTCTTATCTGGTCAAAAGGAATGTGCTTGATGCTGAAATTCTCTGGAGTCTGAAGTGCATCACTAGTAATTATTCATGTAACTCCTGTGAAGGGATTAGTAAATTGTTCTCCAAAATGTTTGCTGATAGCTGTATAGCGAGACAATTTTTTTGTAGTGCCACAAAGTGAGCCTATTTGGGCTCCTTTGGATTGGCACTATACTTCAAAGGGATTCTTATAAATGAGCTGAAGAATGTTGATTGCTACACTGTACTCTTTGATGAGACGTTAAATCAGTCTCTACAATCTAAGCAGATGGACATTATGGTAAGGAATTGATAATAAAGTTTGCACTAAGTATCTTACCTCCCAATTTATGGGTCATGGAACTGCAGAAAATATTTTGTCCTCTTTTTACAAATGCATGGATGATGGTTAAAAGCTCTCTAAAATACTTCAATTATCCATGGATGGACCCTATGTCAATTGGAAATTCTATTAGAAGCTTCAGTGTGAATTAAAAGAGAAATATTCCCACCAGGTCATATTCATTGGCAGTTGTGGATTACACATAACGAATAATGCTTTTAAACATGGTGAAAATGGGATATGTTCCTTCTAATTTTTATTTTCAGAAAGAATTGTTGCTGCATAACATTTAGAGAAGGTTGTGTAAATTATGGATGAATAATTTCAGAAACGATGTTTAATAGAGGAGAGGAGGGGGTTATGGAATAGTCATGGAATATGGAATACCTAAGATTTAGCTCTGTCTTTCATGCAGCCTTCACATGGAAATACACAGGATTAAAGGATTTCACCATTAACACCTCATTACCATTAGTTATAGATTGTGCTGAAAATGATTTTGTGAATTAATATGTAAAACCAGTAGGGTTGTTTTTAAAAAAATATAAATTTTAGTCCATAATACATATACTCTCTTCTCTCTATATAGGCAAAGCATTTAGGTATTATATTTGAAATTAATTATTGCCACAACAAGCATTGTTGCTTCTAGTAAAATAGAAGAGAATAATTTTTAAAATTGGTCTTAGATTAAGGTCCTTGAAAATTTTGTTGAGGTCCTTGAAAAGTCCTTGAATTTCAATCTTATCATAGAGTGGGAACCCTGTATTACGTATTTCATAATATCGTTTTAAACAATTTGCCCTCCCATCATTATATTGCAATTACAGCTTGGTCTGTGAACTAGAAAGCAAAAATCTTGTTAATCTAGTTGGGTAACTTTTTTGTGAAAAATCCAAGTTTGAAAAGAAAGAGTTCGAAGTTTACTCCAACTTATCCAGTAATGCAGTGTTTCCCAAACTTATGACTTTTGTGTACCCTTTCTAAATTTTTCGTAACGCTGTGTACCACTAATAAAAATAAAAAAAATGAATGTATTTTTTACTATAAAAAATTTCACAAAAGTTGAAAATGGCAATTGACTGTTGACACCACTGTTAACTATGCAAAAAATAGCTCATGACTAGCTTTGTTTCTAAATAAAAAATTTTGAAATTTTCGTTTGTAGCAAGATATTTCGCATGAGAACGAGTACCCTTCCTTCTAAACTATTCCCGTACCCCTGGGGGTAGTACTACACTTTGGGAAACACTGCAGTAATGTAATAATACAATAATCGGTGTCAAAGGTAAAACTATTAATTTCGTATGGATATGGTATCATTTGCATATTTAAATATTAATTGATTTAAAATTGGCTATGAAGGAAATGAAAATATGACCACCGAAGCCGACGTCTTCAGGGGGTACCGGCCCCGGTAGCCATAAAAACAAAACCATTTCTAATTGAGGGAGAAGCAAATGCTTATAAATTAACTCCCTCAGTACCCCGATGGTTTTGTATAGAAGTCCAGGAAAAAAAATATGCAACATAAATAACAAATTAAGAAAAGAAACTCAAACAAAATCATCAGAAAAATAAAAACTCACATAGTCACAGGTCAAACAACAACACAAGCAAGCCGAATGAAAAGAAAAAACTAAAACCTAAAGAAAACAACGCCCTCTATTACAATGCGCAAATGAAGAATAAAATGAAAAATGTCAAGAGAAAGAAATACGCAACAAATTAATAGAATGCTTAACTGGGGCTGCTCAGTTAAGACTTGAATTGTGTCTTGTTAAAAGAGAAAAATATAAAAACCTAGAATTCTTCAATCATTTTTTTGATTAAAAAATTAACATTACAAAAATTAAAAGGAAAATCATTATTACTCAAATTATTTAAAAAACAATTCACAGCTTCCTGAAAACTTTCAACATTATTGCAAATACTTTTGATTCTAACCAATTGTGAAATAACTAAATTTTTAAATATTTTATTACACAAATTAGTATTAAAGTTGCAGAAAAAAATAACTTTAAATTTAAAAGCTTTTCTTTCATCAAAGACACCAATTTTAATAAAACTTAACAATATCAATTTTAAAATTTAAATATTCAACATTAAAACAATCCTCATTAGTTTTCTTCAAGACCAAATCTCCAGGATAAATACTATAAATAAAATTATAATTATCACAATTAAACAAAATCAAATCATCAATATATCTAAAAGCTTTAAATTCATTATGCTCAAGAAATTTAGCTTCAAAAAAATATTGGCAAAAGCCCCAGAAAAGGAATTACCTTGTGGAATTCCAATAATTTGTTTATAAAAATCTAAACCAATAAAAAGAACATTCTCAAAAAGATTAAACCTACATAAATCCAACCAATTAAACTTATCAATTTTCTCATTAAATAAATACCTATCATAAATTCCTTCACAAATCTCAATAATCTTTCCACGTGGTATACAAATTTTCGAAATCAAAAGTATTAATGCTGGAAATATCATTATTATTAATATAATCCAAAACTTCAACATTACTGTTTATAACAATACTTTTCTCTTTTTTTAATTTTAAGCAAAATAATTTTTAGAAAACTGAAAAACTTTTTACTAATATCAGAATTATAACTATTAGTACCACACGCTATAAACCTAAATTTAATCGGATTTTTATGAAATTTAACAAATGGAAATAAATATGGAAATGTAATCCTATTTAACTTAAATTTTAATTTTTTACTAAATGCAATAATTCTCTTTTCATTAACCTTTTTGTCTTCTTTTAAATTTAAATAAGTATTATTTGCATT